CCCCAAAACCCCAAAACCCCAAAACCCCTTTTATATGCAATCTGACTGAAACTGTGTTAAAATTTTATTAAATATTTTAAGCAGAAAAAAGATGAATGTAGAGACAAGTGCCTTCTTTAATAACCTCATTGACGTCCATATGAAGACTCTCAAGAGAAGGAAAAAGAACATCGAGAACTTAGGCAGGTATATTAACCTACCCAAAAGAGATTCCAGCATGGACCGAGCAACAGAACATAGAAGAAGGAAGGAAGAGAAACAGGAGATCCAGCATAAGTTTACTTTGAATAAGCAGCAAGCGTAAGGGTGCTTTATACTGGGGATTTTGAACTTTTAAATTTATACTAGTTTCTAAGGAATTCTGATGGTTTTATAGGTTCTACTTTGAACAAAAATAAGAAGAGCCAACCAACAGCACACTACCAGAGTAATATTCCTGAGAATAACTCTTCAAAAAGGTTGGATTACTTTAAGAAGTATAGGCTATTGAAAAGCTTTTACCGAAAGAGTAATAAATTTACTGAAAAAGCAAGCCCAGAGACTCAGTCACAAGCAAGAGTTCGTCATCTTGAGCTTCATGCTCAGTCAAAACCAATCAAAGGACTTAACTCTCCTTGAGAAACCAAAAGACTTTGGGATAAAAGATGGATTTTACCGAAGAAATTCACCCCTTTTGATAATCATGAGCGTAAATATTACATAAATTTTAGAAAATACTATTGATGATATTTTGCAAAATTTTACTCACACCAAATCTCAGAAACATGCAAATATACAGAATAAAGCAAGCCAAAGCCCAAAGAGAGGAACAACTAGTCCCAGAATGGCCTTTAGGAAAATAAATGGGAGGAAAATGAACAATTGGAGGTACCAGCTCGGATTAAAATCAGGCTTATTTCAGAAGGATATTGATAAAAAGTCTTCTCCTTCTTTTCACATTGGTCAACCCCAAGTGAGACCTCCTATTGAGGAAGGTAAGCTCTTGCATTATAATAGTTAGAACATTTTCAGAACAGCATGGTTAAAACAATGACTTCAAGGTTTGCCAGAACAAGAAAGATTAATCTGAAAGAGTTGGAAAAGTATAAGAAAAATCAAGAAACTCAGAAAGTTAGCAAGAGTATCGACATGATCCCTCAGGTTCAAATGACAACTGATTTCATGAACACATACTTTGACTTTAAGAGGAATAAGATCTGGAGCAAGAATAGAAAGGTAAAATCTACTGGGAAGGCATCCAAGCTTACCATGGGAATTAAGCTGTACCTCAGCCAGTACAGGAAACAGTTCTAAATTATTTCAACAGAATAAATTTTAAAAGGGGTTTTGGGGTTTTGGGGTTTTGGGG